TACCAGCAGACCTCTGGTACCAGCAGGCCTCCGGTACCAGCAGGCCTCTGAGCATCCTCCGGTTTACAGACTGCAGCTTCAGATGTTTCCCTGCGATTAGCGTCTGGGTAGCATTTGATAAGAAACATAAACCGGAGCTGTGGTTCCGTCGTACATCCACTGAGGTTGAAGCCGCGGCTCCTATCAGCTGTGCATCTATGAAAACATCCCCTAAACCCGAGAAAACAAAGCCGTGATCCACGTCTGGGCGGGCGTGTTGGGACCTGACGGACCCCGACCGGATCACCGACGCCGTGAAGCGCCGTCACACCAAACTGCTGAGTCCAGAAGAAGCCACAGTGGAGCTGCTGGAACATCTAGCTGGTGTCAAGTTGGGACTAATCTGGAGTAAAGTGGCGTCTGTTGTCACTTTACAGTCTGTTGTGTGTTCAGTCATGTGTCGGCCAGGTGATCAGAGCTCAGGTGACAGTCGGGCCAATTAAAGCCAAAGAAGAAGCGAATGCACAGTAACACGAGGACGATTCCAGTCCGTATAGAAACACACAGAGACAGATCATCAGCGCTGAGCTGCAGCAGACGTACGTCCTGAATAATTTAGATTCAATTACACAGCGAGGAGCCGGAGGAAACTGGAGAGACGCTGCTGCACCAGTAAAACCATTTCCTTCGCCGTGACTCGGCCAGAAACCCCGACTTCAGTTACTCAGCTCTTTCTGCTGCAGCTCGCTTGTTAGCAGAGCGACACCCGACACCAGAATTAAAACAGCGTGGCCCGATCGCCGTCAGCACTTCCTCAGCTTTTTAGCTGCTCATCTCTAACTGCAGCATCAAGTCCTGCAAAAACCATGAAGACGGAGAGAGAACTGAAGTTATGTCGTAAATAATTAAGAAAGAGGAAAATGAAGTTGCATTTCTGTGATTATTTATGTTTAAAAAAAGAGAAAAATATCAACATTTTTCCAGTACACTCGACACTAAACCGTCTACTTTGTGGCCACGGCCTGCAGCTCAATCGAGCAGTCGCCGAATCTTTATCGGGTTTCCAGTTGAACTAAGGAGCAGAATCTGGTGCAAGTAGTTAATTGTTGGTGAATTTTAAAGTGATGTGGATTAGATATGACAATTTAAAGCCCAGATTTGGTTAATTTTCCGTGATGTCCGTCATTCTTTCTGAGGTTTTCATCACTCATCACCGACACGTCTTCCTAAAGTCAAAAACCATCTCAAGCAGCAGCATTTTAGTTTAATTTTTTAAAACAGGTGATGGTTATTAAACACGGCTTGTTTCAGATGTTTGGTAGTAAAACACCCATAAATCTGTAAATCCATACGACTGAAACTCAAACGGCTCCACAGATGAGCAGGTTTCTGTCAGATTTCTCTGCTTGGTTTGTGTATTTCGTACGCGGCAGGACGACCATCTTTGTACGACACTAATTTCACTACAAACTATGTAAACTCACAGAAAAGCTGCATGTTAGCATCAGACTCTTCTCGTACTCCTCACACGAGTCCATGGAGTCTACTAGGACTGGGCTTTAGCATGCTAACGCTTGCTAACGAGGACTAAATGCAGAGAGTAGTTGAAGCTGATGCCAAAAAAACCCCCAAATTTCTCACAAAAAGATGTTCACAATCAGCTAAAATGACTAAATTAAGAATCTATCAACCAGCGACTCCATTAATCATCTAATTATTTAGTACCGTCACTTTTTAAAGCCCTGGAAGTCGAGGCAGTTGTTCCCCAAACATGACTGTAATACATTGTCTTAACCAGACTGTGTCACTAACAGTAGTGCTGTTGGTAAAGGTTACCTGCATGTGTTGGACTGTTGGTAGCAGCTCTTTAAATCAAACCAGAAGCTAACT